GAAAATCGGATTTAAACCCCTAAAAAACCGGTTAATTTGCGTTCACACCAGGTTAAATAAAAACCGGTTTTTGAAAAACCGGTTGAAACCGCTAAATATAAGTCTGGTATGAACAGGGTCTTAGTAATGGTGATCCTCACTGCAGGGTTGGACAAGTCCCATTGCCCACTTGCCCAGGGCAAGTAAAAGTACAGTTTGGGCAAGTAAATATCCCCCTGTACTTGCCCGATTGGGCAAGTAAAGTTTTGGGATGTGGCATTATGCCCCAGTGTTTGGAGCAAAATCTCTCATCATTTTCCCATAATGTATTCCCATAATATGACTTTTTATCAGAGAACCATTTGAAAGTGTCAAACCTCCTTACTTTGGAAAATATCAAGCGTAGAACAATATAAAGTGCTGAGTTAACTGACAAAAATTTCTTTGCGGTAAAAATGTATGAAATAGGTCGTTTATATTTTGCATTGGGCAAGTAAAAAGTTGGTTCGGGCAAGTAGAAATGACCATGTGCTTGCCCGATGGGGCAAGTGTATTTTTGAAAACTTGTCCAACCCTGCACTGGTCAGGATAATATTGACTGGAAGAGGCATCAATATATTACTTAAGGCAGAAAATCAATTCAATGGACATCATAAAATATTACCTGTAGTACAAGTAAATGACACTTGCAGCCTCCAAGGTGGTATACGTATTGATTCAACCATTCCCAAATACATCAGAATGTCTAAGTTAAATGTGTGTTTATAGATCTGAAAAATGAATTAAGAAGTACTTTTGCTGTTGTGGTTTGCCTTGTGGTCCTGAAATGACAACTGATAAGGGATCACATGGTAGGAACTACAAATTAGTACAATGTTGGTAGGAGCTACAATGTTGGTGCTGCACACAAACAGGCTGTCCACATGGTACATGGTACCAGTGTTGTTCTGTCATAGGCACACTGTGGTAACAACTGTTCACACACAGATGTGGTCTCTTACTCTTACAGTACTTACACCAACAAGTGCAACTGATGGTGCTGCACAATGACTGCAAAATGAATTTGAAAACAAAAAGAACCATACAAAAGGCACATAACAAAAACATTATATTAATAGAGGGAACCTTGATTAGGACAAGACAAATTACATTCTAGCAGTACATATCTAACAAAATATAACAATTAAACAAAAAAATTTCATCCTTCTTTTTTATTTTTTAGTTAAAGAGCTACTATACTCTTACCTGAATACAGTCAGCAGATACTGTACAAGACGGTAGTACATTGCAACCTGCATATCTAAAATAAGCTATGAGTATGAACCTAAAAACAGGAAAACACACACATTCTGGTGTCAGCTAGTCTCATATCATATTCCAGTGGTGTTTTTACACTGCTTTTGCAAAAAGCTATGAAAATAAAAACTGGATTAAGCAAACTCTCTAACCTGAATATAGCTACCGCTGTAGCTTTGGTGTACCTGGACACAGCTTACTCCTCTACAGGGCTCTAGTCCAGTAATCCTTTTGCTCCTTGTCTCAGCTGTTACACAGCCACTATAAGCCACTACCAGTAGTTTACTTAGTACTCCCAGCCTGGCCTGCCTGGCAACATGTGTTCAGCCATAACATAGCCATAATCATCATAACAGCATTTGTGAATTTCACTTGTGGGCCTTGGGATTATTAAAATGTTACTGGGGAGACTTCAGGGGCATTCCAAAACAAGCCCTGGTGCTTGCTGGCCACTTGACAAGCACAGGAGGACCACTTGTTGTGTGGTTGAAATCATTTCCTGCAAAGCTACACTGGTAACGTCAACATGGCGTTGCCTTTGTTTGGGTTTGATCCACGGAGCCTAGCACTGAACAGGACATCCTTTCATTCACATTATGAAATATGTACAAAGCTTTGATTGAGTTAGGATACACCCTTAAACATTAGGCTCTGTCCATAAAGCACACTGACACCTACCTAAAAAATTATAGATTTTTCTAGTGCCATTATCAAACCAACGTTTGAACAAGCCATTCAAAGGGAGCACATTGAAAAAGTTCTCATTGGCTCCAGGCTCCTAAAAAAGTATTTAATGATCAAGACATTTCCTAAAGATTTTTAGAGCAAATTCTTATTTCACCAAGTTACAACGCTATATAACATGAGATACAATGTGGATCTGAAACTGCTTGGCTCTATTCAACATCATTGAGGTGAGGAAATTTGTCTAATAAGGTTTACAAGTATGGTACTACATGTAATTACTAAACAGATAAGAGGTCTCACTGTCTCAGTGCAAACAAAGCCTGTTATTGTGGCCTAATAGGGTATTTAAGGGATGCTTCCATTATTGAAGCATATCTAATGTCAACAAGGCACACTCCTCTTTTAAAACCAACAGTTAGGCTTTCAAGTATAGATGACAGCAACGAATAAGATGGCAACACACCTGTATCAGTTACTCCTCTGTAAGGTTAATTCTAAAACAATGGACACACTGTATACATAATGCTTTGAAAAACCCAGTCATTTGACAGATACATTTATCTGATTTTATTTACACATAAAAGGATGGCTAAGAAATATCCTCGCAAGCAGAAAGTTAGTTATATCTATCAGTCATGAAGTGTTACAACCTTGTATCCCACTTTCTTACAGAGGGGAACAGATTGGAAACTAGCTCTCGTTCAGCTTTGGGTGTGTAAAAGCTCCTACATATGGATTTGTAGTCAGGATATGTGTAAAAATGGACATCTAACACATGAACAGAGAAAGCCAATACCAAGTGATTTTGATTTGTTCTTATCAGAACTTCTAAAACCCTGCCAAGTACTCTAAGACTGCATAGCCTTAGCCAATGTGTAAGGAAGAAATTTTATGAAAAGGAACCATGGAAATTGGGTCATTTGTCCTTTTCACATTCCTGAATAAACAGCAGGTGTTGATGTTTGTTTGGTACTGACTCTTTAGCTCCAAGGAACCCTAAAACCACTTTTTATATGGGACATTTTTGTCTCTTGGAGATGCAGTTAGTTCCTGTGATCTGACTTGTATCCATTTAAAACATACAAAGATCCTGTCGCACTGCCATACACATGTTCAAAGGACAATCATAAGAAGGATTTGTCTACAGAAAGTCATAACGAAATACAGTAAATCAGGAACAAGTTGTTTTGACTCGAGTAACAAAAAAGAGAAAAAACTAAACTTTGACATTTGATTAATAATGATACATTTACAATGTCTTTACGTGTCTGGCACATTTGGGTCCTATGAGTGTAAATACAGGTGACATAATATCAAACCTTGACCTTTGTACAGTGAACATTGCAGAACATTACAAAATATTGCTCTGGTTTCAAAACAGTTACTTTAAAAAAACTTTTAAAGGGACTTCTGACATTCAAAACAAATTATATCAAACCAAAATATTTCTACTATTTGTCTATATTTTTCATTCAAGGTAATACTAAACCAGATAATTAATATCCAACTTATCAAATTGTTATGTATGTCTCCTTCCTTACATCAATACATGGTACCCTTAGGATTTCAAAAGCGACCCCCTTAAAATCAACTGAGTGGTATAGATTATCTGTCTGTTAGGCATCCGATTCACGTGATGTAATGTTCTAGAAATTTCTTTGAAAATATCTAATTGATGTAAGTTAAATGTTGTCCAGTTGAGTTACTAGTAATTAGGAAGGTTTGCTAAATTGCAAAGTACTGGTCAGTCATCACTACAGGTGTGGTTCCTCCATACACTTACTCATATGGTTTATGAGGTATGTGACTCTGACACTTAGTAACAGGTTACAATTCAAATCTCTACTCTAGCGTTCTCCCAGTGTTCCATGAACAATGCTCAATGCAACGTAACGTCGTCAGTCCTAAAAAAACAAACATAATGTTACCTGTAGATCCGAAAACTGTGGGAAACAGTACACTCCAAGAGTTATTTGACGACAGGGCTGACAACCATGAACTACACAAGAGAAAACTACTTATCATGTCACACCACTGTGCTTATTCCGCTTTGTGGCACCGCTGTGGCTTAATGCTCTTTTCAGGTCTAATCGTCAGAGCGTTATAGAGGGGGGGCAGTGAAAGTGACGTCATGCGTGCCCACACTGTGGTGTAAAGTGCAAACAACATTCCAGCGAGGCCTGGGACGCCCCTACCGTGGACGTATGTGTGTTAGCAGGTGACAGATCCTCACACAGTTATCATCGACATGTTGTACATACTAGTAGGTAACCTTACCTAAAATGTCACAGTCATGTAGGACAGCAGTGCTAAAAGCTTATGCTATGGCATTTACAAATATTTGTACCTGGGAAGTGGGGGAGCGAATATTACAAACAACTGCAACAGCATGCATGTTTTTAACGTAAAAACTGTGAAAATGCAGTACATTTGCGAAGTACCACCCACACCAACCCCGCACCCTCCTCACCCGCCCCCGGGTCAAATGCGGGTACTGGTGTTAAACTTGGGGGGTCCTGCCCCCCTCCCCCATTCTTGCCAACACGCCACTGTCATGACTGTATACATGTAACGTTACTAGTATAAAACAAAGCTCTTTAGTACACTTCAGTAGTGTTCATGCGTTCAACAACGTCGTTTTGGTTCTTCATAGTTAGGTGGTGAAATTTACGCTATAAGCTATAAGCTCCTTGCATATGACGTAAAACATCGTCGTAGGAAAATATGCTTGTCAGCATCATGCCAGGGCCAAAATAAACTTTGCAACTTGTTGCTTGACCGTATTTTTTCTGGCGAATGTTGTGACCACACATTAATTGATCAACGAACTATTACAAGTATAGTGATTGAATGTAGCAAGACGTGTTCTTGAAGCAGATGGCATATAACGTTAAATTGGGTGCTCATTTTGCAAGCATTTTCAAGGTCTATCTTACGCTGGTTTTGGAAGGTCGTTATATTTTAGATAACATACAAAAAAACTTGCACAAAGACGTGTAAACACGACCTACAGCCACTCATCTGCATAGGGATTACCGGTACTGATCACCAAACCTACCGTCCTCATGAAATCCCAGACTTCAGACAAGCATGTCTTGGTCGCTTGAGTTTTGATCTTCGTCTGCCAGATTTGTAAAATGGTGGCAACATCAGCTCGGCCGCTGATTGGTCGGATGTTCGGGCATGTGTTCTGCGTCACAGCGCGCGAAGTTCAGATTCAGATTCTCAAAGCAGATGTTTGGATGGCAACACATTCCTTACCTTAGACCTTAGTTCCTCCTGTGCCTGGTGGCACATCGGGCAGCAAGCGTCCACTTCTTTTTGTCAGCAGCCGCTGTCTCCGCCTCCTCCCAGGGGATGTTTGCCCTTCTTAGATCGTCTTGGAAGGTCCTGCGCCATGTGTGTTTCGGCCTTCCCCTCTTTCTTGAGGAAAGACATTCACGTTACTAAAATTGCTGCAACGTGTGTTGTATCTAAAATCTGTGCCTTCAGTGCATATTAGATGTCTAAGCTGTTGTTGCATGCGACGGATATGTCTGAAAAATCGTTGATATGCATGGAAAAAAATAATACTAACGTTTATGATAACGTTAGTAGTAATGTAATGTGCCTCTCTGGAAGAACCGAACATCTAATGTTTCGTTCAAGTTGTTCTGTAAGCCGTTCTTTGGAACGCTGTGTTGTCACGCCAACGAGATCACAGGAAAGGACTGAGCAAAACCATGACTGAGAGGACGAGAAGTGACATATCATCAGACGTGTCTGACGTGGTCATCAGTGAGCAGACTGAACGTCAGGAGGAGGACTTGGCGCAAAGACGGTAGATAAACGGACAAACACCACGGAAAAGATTCACATTTTTTCAAAACTCGTTTAGGCCGAAAATAATTCTGTTCAGTTGACGGCCAACAATCTGGAGATATTTTTTAAATCCTAAGTTAACTGGTAAATGACGTGTCGGACAAAGATTGGTTGGAAGGCTGTGTCAGTTCACCGGGTTGTTATTTCAGACACACTTACTCAGTCGGTTTACTTTTCCCATAACACGCGACGTTCAACAAATCATTGACTCCAATAGGATGCCAGCATTTCATCATTTCATAATGTCCCTACAGACAGATAAGGAGCGGTCTAAACTGGACTAACCTCCTACTTGACCGAATACTGTACTCTTTCGCCCGATCTCAAGTACGCTGTCGCGATCAAGAAAGGTCTCGGGTCTTCCTAGTCTTCAGACGGCCTGGGGAACATCTATGGTAAGAAGGCACATCTCTCTCCGTATGGAGAAAATAACTACAGTTGATGACAGTGGTCTAGAAGTAGAGCTGTACAAGAGATCCATTCGTGAAGTGAGTGAACTCAGTGAAGATGATACAAAAATTACAGTCACCGTCATTGCTAACTAATTGAGAGCTTCAAACGAACAATTGAGCTGTTCGCATTCTGCAATCAAGTGGCATGTAGCTCATGCACCATTCGATCGGGGTTTTCGTCCTATGACGTGGCCGGAGATACTATTCGCTGTGTATTGTTCTTATGAGGAAGACAATGTGAATGTCACTGGCCAAGTTAGTAAGATAGAGCTAGATCGATATCGAGATATATGTTTACTATTATCTTACAAACCTTCGCCTGTCTCACACCTGACACCCAATGGGCGGTTTCTAGTTCAATAACGTCTCCTTTCTGTTACCTCAGGGTATGTCTCAGCGTGGCAAAACATTTGCACCTGAGTTGACTACAAGGTTGGTCGTTCACGATGTTGTGTCTTCGAGTTTATAGATTGCCAGGTTTCAAGAACACCATGTCTTTTGTGATATGACGTCACAACCTGCGTAGATCTTCTTTTTAAACACTATTCAAAATACAATCTGCAAAATAATCCACCGTAGAGGACTCGAAACGGACAAGCGTACGAATGAGCAATGAAGAATCATAAGGTCAATATTTCATAGAAGTTTCTTTTCAGCGTCTACGTTTTTGGCTGCGGCACCAGAAAAGGCTATGAGATAGACTGTTACCGTTTCATCACATCGTGTCAAGTGCTACATGAATGAGGTAATATGACCTTGTGTCTGTTCCTTACGAATCAGGGAGGACGAAAGAGATGAGCCTGGCGCTTCTGATGTTGCGACATCAGCTGAAACGGAAGAGGGTAGAGGAAGGACATCAGCTGATCTGGGAGATGACTACAAAGAGCAGGGTTAGTGGACCTGTTGTCATAGTTACCATAATCTCCTGATAGCCGTTAGGGGGATTGCATAGTCTACTGGCCGTTAATTGTTCCATATGCAGCTACAACATCTGCCTGATCGAGTATTCGTCACCTGGCCGACTTAAATACATGTAATGCAAAGGGTCATTTGGAAGAAAATCATTTGTAAGAAAAGTAAGATTACGGCTTAAAGACTGTAAATAAATAATGATGTTGAAATATGGGCACTATATCATAGTTTGACAAAGCATGGTTATAGGTGCCAGTGTTTCAAAATCTCACTTCATTGTGCATCACAAAGACCACAAAATGTCAAAATCATAGCTCTTACATTTTTTAATTCGAGAACTGCAGCATAATAATGAACAACTACGACTTGGAGTTTGCCAATTGTGAATCTACTGTTGCTTCAGTACCATTGATACGTCATAAATCAGATTCGCAACTGACAACCCAGGCTTATTTTTGACCTACATGTATTCTTACAATCCCCTCTCTTGCACATCATGTTCGAAGCTCCATGGCTGCTGCTGCCGCGTTTCGCAGACCAACCTCGACTGTTTTCACTATCAGCCCACCGTGATCAGCCATAAAAGCAGATACGTCACAAAGCACAGCCTAGATAGAAGCTAATACTTCAACATAGAACTTCCGCGACTTTTGTATTGTGCATGTGAGCTTTTAAAAAACGACACGCTAAATTTGAGGAGGCAGCACTAAAGAAATTACAATGTAGTTGCTATAAGTACGACCGTAAGGGGTCCTTCTCTATTAGCGAATGAACGCGTTCTAAAGCACCGGCCCTTTTATGCAGCAACTCCCCGATCTGGTGATGGAATGGAAGGAGCAGTTAGATTGAATGTCCTCGGCATATTTAGAGTAAGGGGTAAGAACACTGAGGATTAAACATATAGATTTAACGCCTTCATGTGAAAATGGTCTGCTTGAAAGCACCTGTAGCAATTCGGCAAACGTAGGGTCGCTGAAGCTCGTCCTTAGTAGGATTCCTGAACCCCCGGGGACCCTGCGGGCCGCGGTTCTCGAAGGTACCGAGGCGGTCGTTTTTGCCCCAATGGTTGAGGGTCGGTTTTCTCTGGCCATAAAAGCTGGTCGACCCTTGAATATAGCTTAGGAAGGCGTTGGCATTAGCGTCTTGTGAGATGGTACCACCGTCTCTCTGGCAGGCCCAGGAGTCCATGTGTGTACGAAACAATTTGTAGCATGCTCCATACCACTTCGTGTAGCCTTCGAGACAACCTGCTGAAAAGAAAAGAAAAGAATAGAGCTAATATATGCATACTCGGAGTAGTGATGTTGAAAGAGTGCCAAATTTTAAAAAGGGTATACGTAGTATCTTCCTTGTAACGTTTCAAGTTTTATGTGAACATATGTAAGTATTGTTTTAGAGTGCGTGTAAGAATGTAGCCATATGTAAGTAAGTATGAGTTTGTGAGTGTGTGCGTATCCAGGCAGTATCAATTTGTCAGCAACATTTTATTAGCACTGGCACCTTCCAATAATGCATATGATCCAGAAGGACTTAAGGAACAGCACCAAGGGACTGCATTTATCTATCTATCAATCTTTGATTTCAGAGGAAACAGACCCTAAATGGGTGAAAAAGTTGAGGGGCCGTGGTTATGGAACTTAGTTAACGGCATTTTCGCCAAGTTTATGATTTTGCACATGATGACATAGTAGTGTCACCTTCGTAGGGCCTACGCTCTGTAGATATTTGCGGTCCAGTAAGGCATGGGCAGCTTCCTGGTCGACCAGGTGGGCCTTGAGGTCCTTGAGGGCCAGGTGCACCCCTTGGCCCCCATCTTCCCACAGGTCCAGGTGGCCCTGGAGGTCCAGCAGACCCACTGCCAGCCGGCCCCATGGCCCCCTTTTCTCCTGGAGGTCCAGGCGGCCCAGGGAACCCGACAGGCCCAGGGCAAACTGACCCAATGTGTCCCCTTTCCCCGGGGGATCCAGAAGACCCAGCAGACCCATTGCTAGCTGAGACCACGGGCCCCCTTCCCCCTGGGAATCCAGGAGACCCAGTTTGCCCGGCAGACCCAGGGGCAGCTGGTCCCATTGTTCCATTTTCTCCCGATCCCCGAAGTCCAGGGGGTCCAGCAGATCCATTGCTAACTGGGAGCATGGGAACCGGGGTTCCAGGCGCTCTGGGGGAACAGGCGGCCCGATAGATCCATTGCCAACTGCCCCGCTTTTCTCCAGGACAATCTTGGGACTCATGGAACCCGGCAGATCCATTGCTTGCTTGCCCCAGGAGACCCCTTTCCCCCGAAGATCCGGGAGGTCTAGCAACTGACCCGGCAGGCCCTGAATGAAAGAAATATAGTTTTTTGTGCAAAAAGATTGTCAAAACCCCTGTAATGTTACAATCATGATCCCAACGTTAAATTCATGGCTCAGATTTATAACTATTTAACATAATAGATATAACAGAGGGGACGCTCGGTGAAATAGTCAATATTGTGACGGCCCTGTGATATCAGGGCATAACACTTACGTTCCAACGAGGGCACGAGTAGGTCCACGTCAGCCATCCTGTTTAGTTTGGCCACCTCTTTAGCAAGCTTTGCCATCTCACCAGACAGAGACGTAACTTTGACTATATTTGGAAAAGTGAAACTCAGTTGCAAAAATTGCAATTAATATATATCAAAGCGGGCTCTACATATTCTAGGTAACAAAATTGTGAGCAACTGTAACGAACTAAGAAAAAGAGTTTAGCCATCTTCATTGAAGGTTTCTCATTACTTATGAAAATAAATTGCTTATTTACAGTAATCATATCAGATAGGTCATACGACACACTAACAAGTTAAAATCGCACAAACAAGGGAGTTGGACACACTATGTAGACATGTGCGCACGCAATTGCCAATTGGTTTGAGATTGCTGCATGGATACCCCGGATGTGTCCGTGAGTAAGAACATTATTAAAATGTCCACGCGACGCATCATGCTTCACATCAGAGGAGGATGACAAAACAACGAAACGTACTGAAATGCAACGAGCCCTTTCCGATATCAAACTGGCGATCGTATTCAAGACACATGAAAACAAGCATTTTCAGTTGGAATCGAATCATGGATGAAAATTCTAAGAAATGATGAAAACTCAAGCCACTGTTTTAAAACTACTAAGTATTTAATTCTAAAGGCGATAAGCATCTTACCTGCAAAATACGACTGCAGTGCAACGGTGGCCAAAACAAACACAACGCCGGTGGTTTGTAACAATTTCTTGCAAAGGGTACGGCATTTCGTCTTGTCGTCTACATCATTGGTTCCTAAATCAAAAGAATGTGTTATGTTTCTCACCAGATCAAAAGCATGAAAGGGTACGTAAATGATAAAGCATCATACAGCCAAGGATAAACTTCATCTATATATTTAAGAACGCAGACAAAGCTTTTCATTTTCAAAATAATGGACATCAGCACCATGTCAGATTCCAGTGCTAACCTCCTCCGGTATTGCAATTTTCTCAACGCCGCCCCGTTGATTTTGGTTCACCGCCTACCATAATGCGTTTTGAATAATTATAAATTTTAACAGACCTTGAAACATATTTAAGAGGCAAACGATAGACATCATTTTGGCACACAGTACACGTAAGCCGAAATGACCAAAGTTCAAATGACCGAAAATATTAAAAGATAGACAACATTAGTATCCCACAACATGAGCAAGGACACGCCGTACCTCCGCTTGTGGGGATGTACATAGGGTTGAGCGTACGCGCAGACAGGTGCGCACGCCTCTGATGATTGGTCTCAGCTTGCGGCATGAGTGTGGTGCCTGGAGGAAGAGTACCAGAGTAATAGAAATAATGCAGTGTAGCAGATCGCCGCCGTACTAGCAAACGCGCACGAAAATACCGCCCGAGTAGAGTAGGTTATCACAACCCTTTAGAAAGACACAAAACAAAAACGACAGATTTGCATTAAAGAAAGTTTATTTTCTATAGCCTGGGCTGAGCTACGATCTATACCTATGGCTTCTCCACGGGCGCTGGGGACGAGCGTGAAGGGGGACGGCAAACTTCTTGGCAGGAGCGTGATTTATTTTTAGTCAGGCTAGATTATTAAACCAGGGATTTAGCCATTTCTACGATACGTTGTTACCAGTTGTTAAGTGATCACACACTGTTTACATACACTATACTGTTCTCAATCTGCAAAGTATAAAACTTCACGGAGAATTGTCGCCTATGGACACTTGTTTCTGTTCAAAACAGTCCAACAAATGTAAATGCATATATCAAAATTTATGTCAGAAACTATACTTTTCACATATTTGTAGAGAATGTAAGCATCACAAGGGCCATTGTACATTTGTCATGAAGGTCACATAGCGAGCACTTAATACGGGTACAAACCTCGAACTTAAGATACTGTATGTGACAAGAAGGCAAATGTTCTATTCGAATTTGATTTAGGATGATGATTTCAACAAGTCATACAAAGACTTCCCACCTTTTTCACCGCTGTGCTCCCGATGTCAGGTTTCTGGACAGCGAAAATCTGTACGTCCTACCCCGAGTAGGCCTTGTCGGTTTGAGCGTGGGTCGAGAGATGAGACGAAAAGCTATTCGTTCCCACACAAAGAAGGAACTTTGAGAAAGAAAACCGCCTTTGAGAGATTTGCATATCACACATACGCTTTCGGAGTCCAGTCCAGACCAATTTTTGAAGACTTATGTAATAATTGCTTTGGTCAGTAAATGTTGAAAACAGCCAACACGATTTCTTTTGTCAAAGGCAAGATAATTTCTTGATTTGACATTTGAACATTCAAATGTTGGTTAAGAATAGTTTTTCCGAAGAACTCAAACTGCAGTTTTATTGCTTAACGCAATGAATTGATCGCAATGAATTACATCAGTAGATATTCACGTATCAAACCAAATCAATACAGTTAAGGCAGTAAACGTACATACATTCATAGATACAGCATAATGGAGGGATTCATAATCAAGTCGCTACGAAACCAGGCCGTACACAAATAAGCTCATTACCCTCATGCAAATGTTAACAATAGATACCCACTGTTTTTTTAGCCAGCCGCCGGTAATACCAAACCCCTGCTTCAGAGCCTGCTTTGCAGCCTAGTGTTTAAACGTGTGACGTCTGTCCGTCTGTTTTATAGGGGGTGTTGAAGGACCACCAGCGGGATATACTCGAAGCCCGATGTAAGAACTAAATCTTTTCGCTTGCGTTTGTGTGTTGGCTTGTTTTGTCAAGAGGATACCTCTATTGGTGAATTAATAAATCTCGTGACATGCGTAAATGATGAACAGGAAGGACCTAGATGTAGGGTTGGGTAATCATGAACAAGACATAAAGTAAAACTACAGTGATTTGTCATATCGTAACCCACAACAGTTGTAGATGTAACCCGTTTATCATGTCGGTTGTTAAGATTACAAATAGTTGAGTAAGATAGATCCTTGTAAAAGGAGATAGTTAAACATGACCACAAGTAACTTTTTGTCTGTTTTATTTTTCCAGTTCTGTCGTAACGGAATATGCGTTAGCAGGTAAGGAGAACCTCATAATCAAGCCTACGAGAACTACAGTGCGTTTACGTTCGTGGTGTTTATCCAGTGGTGTTTTAAAATGTGCTACGTGTTAAATCTGTTTCACGTCTTTCGGTGCAGATTTCGCCGAGCAGTATAAAAGAGGTTCGTCGTTAGCCTCATCAACTAGGAGCAGCATGGTAAGTTTTTGTGCCTATCATAATGACACCCTCGTTGAAAAATATGTTTGATTGTGGTTGTAGTCTGAAGTCTATAGTCAGCTTACAACTTTCAACAGTTGAAATACAGAAATTGTTTCGATGATTATCCAGCTTTACAACTACATCTATGTCTACCCCACCTCTCATCCAACAGTCACAAGGCTCCTCGTTTTCTGGCTTCAGCGGACGCGGAAGCACTGGTGCCGGGAGCAGCATATCTTCCAGCGGCAGTGGTGAGTAACGTTAGCCCATGCGACTGTATGCTCTGATATCGTATCTATCTGTCATTGTGATATGATCCTCATCTACGCGTGCTCTTTCGGTACACGATAATTGGCAACATGGTCCACACGAATAGTCCTGCTGTCTATAGTTGTTACCTGATGAGTGTGTTTCTGCCAACACGAAATAATTGTCACGGTGGCTTTTGATGTGAGACGCATACGGTGGCGACTGGTCCGAAATCAAATGAGTATTCACACTAAAACCCCGCGATTCAAGCGTTGTTTACAGCGACAGAAAACACGACCCGATCGTATTTGGCGAAAGAATACGACAGGCCCTTGACTGATGCCTTATGTTCTAACAGTCCCGTTTCATTGTGTGTTCACAGAGGGTAGGACCCAAAGGCTCTCCAGCATGCTGAGAAAGCCCAACAGGTCCCTGGCGAAGGAACAGGCACTGAACGAGTTTTCGAAGGTACCGGTGTCTGAACGGCAATGAGACCTGCATCAGCAGGAAGCCGGTCTAGAACTATGTCAAAAGAACTATGTCACGATGATAGGAACATGATGGACTACTCGACTCACTCCAGTATGCGCTAGTCCCATTTGTTACAATTGTTTCATGGGAAATGTAAGGTAAAAACATGCTTACTTTCCGCAATGTTTGAATATCATTCTGCCATGTCTCTGTTATCCTCAGACTGACGAGCACCTGGCCTACATCCGGGATGAGGCATTGAAGAACCAAGTGGAGGTAAAGTTTTTATGCAGATACAATCTGCAGTTTCCTTACGTTTTGGTCACTGGCGGTGTGTACAATGCCGTCATTGATTTAACGTCACGTAGTTCTGTAAAGAACGAAAGAGTAGATCGCTTAAGTTATGTACATCGCCCATTTACGCGATTGCTTGTTAGAGGCAGACGTACTTGTAAATATCACAGTCTAACGTCACGATGTCGGGAATTTCAGCTGCCCATCGGACTTCTTATAACCATGAAGAAAGAGGTTCTGACTGTTGTACAAGAGACTGCAAAAGGTAAGGAACTCGGTACTGTCCTGGTGTCCAACACTTTCTCTTTTTACATAACCTACAAGTCCTCCTTAATAAAGCATCCTTGGATAAAACAACAATTCAACTATAAATTCAGTACCAAGGAGAAAACTGGAATGACAGAGGAAAGGCACAAGAGTTTGTGCCCAGTAACTTAAGTTTCACCACTCACATCTGTACATGCGCGTATTTTACGATTTACAACATTGGAAAAATGTAGTTCATTACGAGCTAGCTGTTTCCAGATTTGTGACAAAATATCATTAATAGAAATGTATGGTACTCATGCTGTTAAGGCCTTGTTCAATTATATGTAAATTATGTAACTCTGAACCTGCTGATTTCTGTCGTCCAGAGTACAAGAAGACTGTAGGGCCGCACCACAGGCTGACCATGGATGCTCTTCAACGAGTGGATGAACTTACAGAGGAAATTAAAAGAATGGGATTCTAGTCTTATGTATCACTGAAGCCTGTGTGTTTTAGCTCGGATATTTAACTAATATCAATGTCTACCTAACACATTATCAACCAAAACTGACGATGTTAGAAGTCAGGCTGTCCTGGTGAGTTTGTGTAATTCCTTTGAGCAAAGAATGATGAGAGGCACTACAAAACCAAACAAATGACAGGACATGCAGCCCCACATTCACTGCACTCTTTTATTGGCTTTATTGTCATTCAAATTTGACCCAGGAAATCACCCAATAAGATCATAATGTACATGTATCTCTATCTTTTATAGGAAAGATTACAGATGCTTGTTACATGCCTGTGATTTTCTCAATAAGATTCAACAGCCTGTGACTTATCTAAAAAATACAGCTCCATTGCTGGACCCAGAGATATTAAATCTACAGTGTTGACACGACAAAATATCAAGTACTTCATCATTGTTGGACATTCACATAGAATCTACAATATGTACAGAACCAACATTGTCATCTCTATTTTTATTACATCACCCTCACTACTATCTCCATGAATTAATTATTACTTGCATCTTCATTTTCAGCATAAAGACTGCTCGATTTGCCATATTTCAGTGAAAGTGCCTCATTGTTCAATACATAAAGTGCCTCATCGTTCAATACATAAAATATCATCTCCATCAATCAATCGATCAATCAATCAATCGATCGATCAATCAATCAATTAATCAATCAATCGATCGATCGATCAATCAATCAATCAATCAATCAATCATATCTAAGTAATTCCTTCTCCAAAAAATGTGCATACAAGATCTGTATTATTGTAAGTTTATAAAAAAGCCGACGTGTGTCAAAATATGCTTAGAATTATCACTCTCCAGCTTACTAGTGCCAAACATGCATATGCTAACTAACTCAATTCCCAACTTGATACTGTGTAATATCTTGGATGGAAGAAAGGACTCTTTGGCCTTTTTGATACAACACACAATCCAAAAAAAATTGACAATCGAACAAAAATCTAAAACTAAACCAGTACCAATATCAAGGCAAGCTTACCAGTACACCTGCATAGAGTTGTAAAAATGCTACACATACAGTCATGGTCTCAGTCCGTTTTCTCCTATTTTGCAGATAATATTACATGTGTATGTGCATTTAGATTGATATAAAACCATTATCACTGACATGTAAGATTCTCTAAAAATATACGAATGTAACAAAAAGGAATGTGTCATGGATTTTAAAGCCCTTTACAATACAATAATAAGTTCATTGCACTTAAATGGTAGCCAGTAAAGCAGAAGGACAAGCTGTATTTACATGTACATGTTCAGTCTCCTTGATACAGCAAAAAGAGACACTTGGATGGGTCAATCCCAACCAACTACAAAAAACATCTAACAATTATGTATATATCCAACAACTGTAAGTTTGGGGCCGCATTGTAGAATGATACAGTTCCCTGTAACCACGCATATGTGTAGATATGTAAATATTGTACGTTTTGGGAATGCATCTATGGCAGCGACACCTGTGCTACAGTGCAATGTGAACCAGTCAGAATTGCCTTGAGGAAGGTGACAGATGGTCACTGAAACATTGGCTGAATAAAAGACTTGGTTGTGTAAAAATAATGTCTTTACTCAGTGACTTACCAACCTGATGAAACTATTCACTGATACAAACAAGTATTCTCCATGTAACTATCACCAAAATGTCTGAAAGTGATCTTGAAATTGTGTGTTTGTTTTCACTTTTAGATGAAATAGAACTCTTT